CGGACTATCTCATAAAGCACTGATAATCATCCATTTTTTCATTATAGTTACTTGTATGGGTGTGTTTGATACTGCTGATATTTTAAAACAATAAAAAATAACAAAATATTCCACAATACCAAGACGAAGATCCAGCAAATACCGTTATTTATATATATAAATTGTTATTATTATTATTGTCATCATAAAATTGCCTTGTTTCATAGAAGTGATCGATTAATATTAAGATAGTTTCTATTTTCTGATAATTAGATTACAAAAAGATTTTGAACGGTTGCAAGATAAATCTGCAAAAAATATACAAATAAAAGAATAAAAAAATACTGTAACTGCAATCGATTCACATCTAAATCCGGTTTCTTTGCGTGAAGGTTTATATAAATATTTGTTAAAAATGTTCGCTTATTTGATATTTATTTAAATTGAGCTTTTCATATCGAGGAATTTTATAGCTTACTATGCTGTATGAGTTTTGCTTATTGTTGAAGGTCGTACACGGACCTATATATTCTTACGTCTACGCCATTTAGTCTCTGATGGATAGTTATCTCATTGTCTATCATACTATGTGCCACATCTGCTTATTCTCTACCAAGCATACGAAATGTTTAGAATAGAGAAAAGTAGCTTTACCTTCTTATACAAAAAAAAAATAAGTATTTTTATAACTATTCTTATAGTTGTATATCGTGTAAAAGACGAATATTATACACAATTTTAAATGAATATCGTGGAGTTTAAAAGAGAGGCGAAAGATACCAAAGGGACATTCAAACTCATTAGTCAAACATAAACTGACAAAGCCATGACAAAAAAAGAAAAAGACCAAAACACAAACACAAATAACAATACACAAATAACACAACAAAAAACTAAAGATTCAGCAACATGAACCACATCGGGGTGATCGGAAGTGCTCCAAAAGGGTAAGTATATCCTGCTCCACATATGGCACATGTCGTGTTGCTCGTGTAAGTACAAACCCGGTGATAAGTCTAATTCAGTAAGTCACATTCGGGGAAAAGAGGACGGGATAGTGGTTACGAAAATTGGAACATATCCGTCGTCATCTATGAAACAGATATTCCATAACGGTCACCTAACTCGTGATTTCGTCTGTAAAATTTGCAAAGGGGTGATTTCAACTACACCACTTGGAAGTCTTCGTTAAATAGCTTCCTTGTGAGCAGCAACCCTCTATCAAGGAAATCAAGATAGGAAATACAAGCCCTGGAATATCGTTTCAACTTGGAGATATATACTCCATATGCAGGTGCTGATGAAATGTTGCTACATAAAAATGGGAAGTTCACAATTTGGGAAGCTGAAATCATCTCTTTTGTCTTAAAGTTCTGTTTTCAACTGACCCTCATTGTCAATTTCTAGATGTAAGTCAAGATATGAGACAGACATAACTGTATCTGTTGTATCCTTGATCTCAAGTTCGATGGGGTAGATGAGTTCAACAAAGTCACCAAGCTTTGAATTATTTAGTTAGAGAACATCATATATATAGCGGAAAGTTAAGTTAAAGGATAATGCTAAGCTTTTTTTCTTTCTTCCGAAGAAGCTCTTGTTTGAAGTCAGCCTCGTAATAATAAAGGAACAAGTCGGCAAGACGAGGACCGCAGTTGGTTTCCATTGGAATGCAAAAGTAACAAATATGTTGTTAATCAAGAAATCCAGCTTCTTGATAATGTCAGTTTAGGAATTTTTGTTTGTTTGAATCAGAGTGATTTTTAAAAAGTAAGATTGATCTTTCCCTAAGACAAGATACTAACAAATTATAAAATCGATGCTCGTAAACATTTCTCTCCTCCTCTTTGACGCCTTCCATCATAACTGCTCGTTCAATATTAATTCTTAGCCATGTTTTCGTGTATGCTCTAAGGTAAGGTTATGAAACTCCGTCATCGTCCAATTCGTGTTGTCTTTGGCGTCGTGTATAATGAATCTATTATAGGAAGAAATGAAATGTGGTATGGAAAAGATGTATTTTCACTTCTTTCAATCATCGATATGCATTTATCGCTTTTTTGGATAAACACCAGAAACTATACTGCAAATGCTGAGAACAATTGGACCACTAAAGTCCTGCTAAATACCACACGGATTTTCTCCAGTCAATCGTCTCCTATCTGTCCTTTTGTGGCTTCGTAGTTTCCCGTGTTATTATATTTTAAGTTTACGTTTTGACTTTTTATCTCATTCTGTTTGTACACAAAGCCTTTGAATCGATTTTATGTGAACTTTATTCACCAATACTCGTGAACAATGGTTTCATTCCTATTGAAATTGGCCGCCATTGATGGACTATCATGATGGCACAACCCATGTGATACACATACTTCAAGTTTAACCACCGGTGCATTTTTACTAGGGGCATTGCTACATTTACTGCATTCTAGTGTAGTAGTAGACAATACAAAGCTTATACAGCTCGTGAAAGTGGTATTCTTGTACATCAAAAATTTGCGCAGCAATATAACATTTTTTCAAGAATTGGGACTAGTTTGGAATTGGGTTTTCCTCCAAACTTTGTAATTTTAGGTGATAAGATTGAGGCCAACCGTCCACCAATTGTTACTTCATATAGGAGACACCAATTAAGACTGCGAAGCGAGAAAATAAAATACAAATAACTAAATATAAGAATTTCAGAGTGTCGAGCTTATGTTGAACACGCCATAAGACTTTTAAAACATTCAAGATTGTCGGAACTTTGTAGTAGACATCCAAGGTACGAATTGAATGAATTGTTGAATTTTGTGCTGAATTTGCGGATAGACAAAAGGAGTTTTTTTTGGCTATTAAATATATACTTATATCATTTAATGCATAAATTTTGGCTTATGGCCGTTAAATCCACCATCCCCATTTTTTATTAGTTTTTACACTTTTGCACTCTTAAATCAAACAAATACCAATATATATATTATGAAATGCTCATGCATGTCTCAAAATTTGGAGTAGACGTTAGCTGTTCACTATATCGTACACAAACACCACAACAGTTAACTATGCTACACCATGATTCCTTTCAAGACAATTGTATTCTGAGAAAGTTCACACTAAAATATTGTTTCGGTATTGTTATTTAGCATCTGCGCAGTATTTGAATTTGTCTAATAAAAAGTTAAAACCTGGGATAACTGAAAATGATGAATATTCATAAGTAGAAAAAAATATTCAACCTTTGATAGTATTTAATTTACTAGAACGCAATGAATAAAAAAACAACAAAAATATGACCCACATTTGTATCCAATAAGGTCCCTGCAACAACATTTTAGCACGTTAAAATGGCATTGTAATTTTGATTTATTTTGGCATCAGCATTCTTGTAAAATTTATATGTTTCATTCAAGAATGATCTGCTAGACATCATTTAAGATATTTACATATCAAGGCCTCACAATTCTGCGATATATTGGCAAGCAATGTTAACTTCCCGTCACGAAATCCGACTTTAGTATTATTTGGCACTAGTATGCGTGTTGAAAATTATCCTCAGCTTCAAAGTTTTTTAAAATTAGATTCCTCCATAGTTTATACGTGTTTAAAGGCTACAAATTTATTTCCCTACAACAATCGAATGATTATTTTGATTTGAGGTTCAAATGCATAAGTATCTATATATTATATTTATATATATATAAAGTATTTTCATTTAAAAACTAAATCATAAAATATCCTGTTTCGGAACTAGCTTATAATATAGAATATAGTTTGTTTTCAATAAAAAAAAATCTTAAATATTTTCAACTTTAGGAACAACTTTGTATTATTAAAAAATAAATAAATTGTTCATTATCTGTTGATAAATTAAAAGTTTAAAGAAAATACATCATTTACAATAATCTGTTTATGCCTGCATATAAAAGGTATTATAAAACTTTATGAAATTTTTCTTCGACAAAGTACTGCAAGTAATACCGGTTATTTGGTAAACTTCTTTTCGTTCATACAATTTAATTTCTTTTTTGAGGTGAGCTATACAACATCTGGAAATTAAAAAAATCAAGTGTATATTAAAACTGATGGAATATTTTAGTTTAAATCTTTGTCATAAGCGATAACACTCAAGTACAAAAAAAAAAGTATATCGTAAACTCACGAGGAATATTTTCTGTAATTTATTTGAAATTATTTTTGTTTAATACATTTATCAATTTGGCTTTACTGACAAAAAAATATATTTCGAACTTTTCTGCAACTCTAAAGCTCTAATTTATACTTCCATGATGCGTTTCTGATAAAGGTAAATCCAGAAAACGCCTCACACAGACCAAATCTAGAGAGTGTTGTTTACATTTTCTCGTACATCTGTCCATAACTTAGTATTGAATATCATTTTTGCTAGAGGTAAACTGCGTGTTTCTTCTTTAACAAATATAATGTACTTTTTGCTAATTATTCAACATTGACTGTATTTGTGTTTATAAATGTAGATATATTCATGAAAACTAGCCTTTTTACACTAACAATGGATACACACTGTGTGACTCCGTTTTTAAAATAAAATAAGATATCATATTCGAAAATAGCCAATATAATTTGAATATACAGTCGTGGAATGATGAATGTGGCTGATTTAATACCAATAATGACAATGTTAAGCAAGTGTATGAAATAAAGTTGTCGATATTAACTTGAACAATCTGGTTATGATATCAATATATATATAAAAGTATGAATACAGATACTTATATGTCACATTTCGACAATAAGTTTACTGGCTTTCAAGAAAAGTCAAGTAGAAAATTTAAAGTTTAAACATCAATTATATTATAAATGTGTATGTAAAACCATTTCTCAAATTTTGAATTGAACAGACATTATATTTGCAGAAAGTACATGAGAATGTTATTATTGATATAATTGATAGTTGTTAAATTGGAACAAATTAACCATAGAAAATTTGGTAAAAATTGTGGCATTATAAACTGTTAAAGCCTAAAACCCCTTATCTTCGAAAAATGATTACTGATGTTACTTACCCAAAACTCTTTCTAGAAAATCTCTTCCACTTTCCTAGTCTCGATATAAACTAAAATTCGTACTTAACTTTTAGTGGGATTTCCCATTGAATTAGAGCGAGACTATCAATGTATTTTAAACGTTATTGTTTTAGTTTACTAGGAAATTAAATTTGTATTTATTACAATGAACAAAGCGATGATTTTTAATACATGCGTATGTAAAACACGGACAGTTAGAGCACAGACCCCATTTTTAGGGGATGGGTTAAGAACTTTTTAAGTATAGTTTCCATTATTCAGTATGTTATTTTTCATGTCCATACATACATACTATAACGTTCGTAACAAGAGTTCAATAGGAACAAACACAAATAATATGTATGAGTATATCATTGTAGTTGTTGGGTAAGCCTTGACATTTAAATAAAGAGGAAAGGATTCTATTTCAATGCAAGTATCATAAATTATTGAGTTTAGGAGAAGTGACTATACATATACTGACTGGAAATTCGAGCTCATTAATGTTACCTATATATACGTTTTCTTCTTTGAACTAGTTTGCAACAGATCGAATTAGAGTTAAATTTACTTTAACGTTTCCTAAAGTTTTTACTTTCTGTTGCCGTTAATTTTGACTTATGACTACATTCATGGTGTAAGACTTTCTGTATTTTTATAAACCATGACATGTAATCTTAAATTGTATTGGTGAAACCTTATAACTTAAATAAAGGCAACAACTTATACCGCTGTTCAATCTTTAAAATATACAGTTTTCGTTCAGGATTTTTAATTTTGAACTTTCCAAGCATATGTAAAGCTTGGCGACGAAAACCCCTTAGTCAAAAACGGGTTACATTGTAAGATTGTATATTTACAACAGTTAATCTAGTAATTTTCAAACGTTTGATTAACCATTGATTCTTACTGGTAGATCCAGTATAAATAATATATAATATACACATATGTTTAATCAGACATGTAGAAAACACTTCCTAAAATGAGTGATGCACACATTTAACAGATTTTATAGGAACTAAAGTTAGTTAGTCTTGTATTATTTTTAATTTTAGTTTCTTGTGTATAATTTGGAGTTTAGTATGACGTCCATTATCACTGAACTAGTATATATTTGTTTAGGGGCCAGCTGAAGGACGCCTCCTAGTGTGGGAGTTTCTCGCTGCATTAAAGACCCATTGGTGGCCTTCGGCTGTTGTCTGCTCTATGGTCGGGTTGTTGTCTCTTTGACAAATTCCCCATTTCCATTCTCAATTTTAATATATTTGTATCAACGATTTCTATTTTGTTGTTGAAAAAGCACTGTTTAATGAGAAAGTATAGTTGATCTTTCAATTTTGAATTTAGAATAGTAGTGTAGAGTGTAGAAAAATCAAAAGTGTTGGTATTACTGAAAATTTGTTAGGATTATGATAGAAAAATTTTGATTGGATCTTTAGAACTTATGAATATCCAGATCTGATTGACACTGCTGGTTAAATAAAAATCATCACAATATTTCTGAAAACCATTTTTCAGTGTAGAAAAGATTTGGAAACAGAATGGAAGTTAGAACTTTTGACAGATGTTTAGTCGAACACCTTGACAACCCTGCAATATATCGTTGTTTATAAGGATTTTCAGGTTTCCAGTATTAAGACGGCAGCTTTTCGTCGTCTTTTTATATGTTGATACCATCGGAAATGTTGGAGAGAAGTACGGATTGTTGATTTTCTAAAGTATTCTCTTCAATAATATAGGCCAATACGTGCGATTTCTTATCTTTACTGTAAATTCAAAGTTCCACGTTTCTTATAAGACAGTCCATATGATAAAGAACATTGAATCATATTCGTTATGGTTCAGATTGTTAGTGGTGAGCTTATTATTATTATTATTTTATTATGAATGCAATTTGTCGTAACCACAATCCTGTTATTTTCCCTTAGATGACATTACCAAATGCGACTTATCACCTGATTTTCACTTACTTGTATAACACATCGGGTGCAACATGTAGAGCAGGAGCGACCTTCCCGTACCGAGCACTTTGGTGGAGTCCCGTTTTTTGTGGGGTTTTGGTCGGCTAAATCTTTAGTTTTCTGTGTGACGTTTTTTTTTTTTTTTCTGTTTTTTTTTTGGTTTTTTTTTGTTTTTACTTTTCTTCGTTTTTCTTTTGCCATGGTTTTAATTTTTCTTAATGGACTGATGACTCTCTATTGCTCCATTATTACTTTATAATATTTTAATCGTTACTGCGATATTTGTTTTTGGCATAAACAGTCAGTTTATTATTGTGTTTAAGAATGTTGATGGATTGAGTATAGTCGTTTACAACTAGATTTATTTCATTTTGTTTTTGAAAAACAAACCGAACAGTCGATTGATGCATCTTCTACTGTCGTGACTATTCACAGTTTCAGTTTATTATTATATATGTTGTGTATATATTTTGAGCACTACCCGGCTAAAAACACATCACCATGGTTGTCTTCTGCCATATCTCTAGGACCTGTCTAGTCAGAAGTGTTTGTATCTTTGATATTTTTCTTTCTTTTCATCTTTTGTTTTAACGCAGACTTTATCACTTACACAATACACATCGCCTTCTTTGCTGGCACATGTATTACATGGATCAAATGTTGTTTTATTGAATTCATAATTTTACCATTGATATTAACTTTGATAAGAGTGTTGCATTAATTTTTTATCCAAAAATGTTCCTGTGCAAAAAGAAGTGAAAGATATCAAATGGATACTCGACCTCAAACATCGACGAAAAACTAACAACTGCATGGCAACAATGAAAAACGACGAAAGGACAAACAATTGTCTGCAACACAACATATAACACTAAAGACGTAGCAATAGGAACCCCACAGAAATCCTGGGATGAATTTAGGAAGATTTGCCGATTAAGCTCCACACGTAGTACCCGTCATGTTGCTCATGTTCTTGTTTTGGCTTTGAAATTTTTTTCATCTGAGCGTCACTGGTTGGTCTTGTGTGGACGAGACGCACGTCTGGCGTATTGAATTTTAAGCCTAGTACCTTTTGTTAGCTATTATTCATGTGTTTCTTTGTCCTATATGTTCTCCCATTTATTTGTGTTGAGGTCCTGTCATGTGATGTTGTCGTTTTGGTGTTGTGTTTGACGTTGCCATAAAAGCTGGAGGTTTGACATGCCACAAAACCAGGTTCAACCCACCATTTCTTTCTTAAAATGTCCTGTACCAAGTCAGGAAAATGGCCATTGTTATATTATAGTTCGTTTCTGTGTGTGTTACATTTTAATGTGTGTTTTTGTTGTGTCGTTGTTCTCTTCTTATATTTGATGCGTTTCCCTCAGTTTTAGTTTGTAACCCGGATTTGTTTTTATCTCTATCAATTTATGAGTTTCGAACAGCGGTATACTACTGTTGCCTTTATTATTCATGTCAGTATCAACTCTGTTTTAAGTCTCATCGAGGAAAAGAGGAAAAAAGAATGGGAGTGGCTTTTACGACAGTTCGAACATATCGTCATCTGAAAAAGTGAAATACACCAAAAGGATACTCGACCTCAAACATCGACGAAAAACTAACAACTGCATGGCAACAATGAAAAACGACGAAAAGACAAACAATTGTCTACAACACAACATATAACACTAAACACTAAAGACGTAGCAGTTTAACCCCCCCAAAAAAAATAATATGAAAAACAGATATTCCATTACGGTCAATCAATTCGTAATAAATTTAGAAACATTTTCGAAGGGATAGATAAGGATAAGGTTTAACATTATGGGAAATGTAAGCATATAAGATACAAATGTAATTAACCTATCACCGGTTCTTGGAGACCTCCATTATTAATGTCATTATATCGTAGATCAGATATTAAAACGCGCCACGTTTTGCACTTCAGTGCGAATATCTGTTCGTACAATTTTTACAAGACTGAGATTTGACAACATCATTGTATCGAAATAGAGTTGAAATTGAAATTACATTTTTAAATGTTTCCTTTTTTCTGGTTGCAAGTTAAAATATTTGGAACCGATTCACTAGTAGCTGGCCTTTTTAAACAGTCATAAACATTAACAATACATGATTTGATTATCTAAAAGGTATCTGAGTTCTTGATAAAATGATTACATCTAGGCTGTAAATTTGTAAAACAATGAAGTAATTAGTACATTGTAACCTGTACGGTAATACGCCATTACTGAAATCGGATACTTGACTGCCGGTTTAGAAACGTGAACATTCCATCAACTCATAATTCTATTATAAAGACTTCATTAAAAGCTCAAGAAAATACAGGAATTGTTTTCTTGACCCTACCACTTTTGAAAAAATTGCTAAAAAATACTATGTTTTTTACAGACAATACGGTTTGGCTCTAACAGATGTATTGCCCTTTTGAGGTAATCATGTATTCTTGATATTGGTCAACAAAGAATACTGTGTCTAAAACCAATTCTGACGAGTTCAATAGAAAATAGTGATCTGCATTTATAATTTGGATCGTTCAATTTTTGCTTAAGCAAACACACACAATGCAAAGAAAGACTGTAGAAGGTTTTATAGAAAAGAAAAATCTAATCCTTAAATTGGCTTTTTTTAATGCCTTTTAGCCAAATTATTTGATTTACAAAAAAAACCGTAAAATTCCATAAAAGTTTGTGTTTTTCAAGGTTTACAAAGAGCAATTGTTTCAGCAATTGGTTTGAGAAATTAGACGATAGTTTTTTCTAGCAATGTTTGAAAAAATTTAATTTGTCATCTAAGAGTGCCTGAGTATTTGTTATGAACAATGATTTATGTTAACATATGCTTCTACTTTGCATTTTAATAGTCAAGGATATTCATTTTGAGAACTTGTGAAAAGACACACAATCGATGTGCTAACTGGTGTTTTTGACCGTGTTTAAGAGTCCCCCAAACTGGTCATATTCAATTAACACTAAACATTAAACGCATCGTAGAATTTCAAAAAGACTCTGGCTGATAATGGATGATTCCCTACCCTTGCTTTGGTATAAGGGTAAGAAATTATAAACGAGAGGAAAGTTTTGGGGTTACCACGGCCTTACCCTTAAATCTTCTTCCTCTAACCCTGGATAATGCCCTGTCGCTCTTTTGTTCGTAAACTGAATATCTTTATGATAGCTTTAAAACAATTGTACTTCTTACGAATCACAGAATTGGTATGCGTGATTTATAGACCACTAGCCCAGAAACAAACCAAGTAGAAGATTAAAAACTTCCTCATGACTGTGGCCTAGGTGTTTTAAAGCTCTTGTCAGAAGGTAACAAATTTTGAAGTAATATTTAAACATATGTTTTGCGAAAATAGAAAAAAAAGAAGAATCACACTGCGTACAATTAGCAATGATTTCCTTTTGAAGGTGTTACACAATCAATTCAAAGTCTCTATATAATCAACTATTTTTGTCACAGGTCTCTAAATATTTTACCTTAAGTTAAACTACTTAAGAACCATGTATATCCAGAGTTGTACTTTTTTACTTTTCTACATGTCAATTCTCCACTAATGTTTAAAATCTTCTTCTGACACATTACGTTCCGGAAGTCACATTATGCTAAAAATAGCAATCTACTTTCTAGAAAATCCGAAAATCATACCATTTACCAGATCTAATTGGATATTGTAATGCAAATTCATGCACAAGGAAATAGGGCCGAAAATAGTCAAAATATATTTCACATACCGCAAAAGTTTCATTCGTGTAAATTCATTCACTAGTTTAAGTAAACAACAAAATAAAAAGGTTACAGATATGCTTTTAGTGTGACTTGGTGAGGTAGTCGTATGACATCTTAATTTAAATGTTTCTATTATTGCATTCAATTAATAAACTTTTGTATTCCAAAATATGTAATTACAATGAATATTGTTTTATTTACATAATAGGAAACGACAATATGTTAATATATGTATGAATAATATATGAATCGATACGACAAAGCCGTTGATCATTGGCAATACTGGTGAGTACGTTATTGCTTTATCTCAGTTTCAGTATCAACTTTTGTTTTAACTACGACCCGATAATTCTATCGAGTTCTCATGCCGAGTATACGGTCCTGTCAATATATTAAGTCCAAGGTGTTCAAATGCAAATTTTCCGTATCATTAACAAGGGATTGGCCTTCATGATTGGCGTTCAGTTCAGGTACTGGTACTGGAAATTCCTCAACTCTAATTGTACCCAAGTCTGCAAGTAATTTCTCCATGTTTGACTCTAGTTCTGAAGGCATAAACGTAATGGTTGGAACATCAGCTCTTTCAATTTTTCTGATTTCGCATTCTTTCTCATTAGTTATCTCCTCTAGAAGTTTTACGGACTGGAATAAATGGATTTCAGATGTATTTGGCTTCAGTGAACTGAGATCGGCCTTCCATGTAGAAAGTGAAGAAGAACAGTCTTCAAGGCTACCTTCAGTTATGGAAACCGTCTCAAAACATTGGCCATACTTAAAATCGATATCTGTAAATATTTCTGATTCTAACTTATTCAAGCGATCAATTAATTTTTGTTTGGTTCCCGACACTCTTTGCTTAAAGTCATTTTGACTTTTCTTCAAATCTTTGAGTTTTTCCTTCTTTTGATTCAGCATCGTTTTTGAAATTTTACTTAGGTCATTCATCCTTTTCTCAAGGCGTATCATGGCGGTTCCTTCGTTAACTCCACTGGCAGCTTTTTCCAATGAATTGATAGGCGTGCATTTCTGATGAATTTCAAGTTGACATGAATCACAAATTATCTCGTCATGTTGACAACAGAACAGTACCATATTTTTATCAGGATGATGTTCGCAGTTCTTGGGCAATTGGAGAAGCGAAGGACTGACCTGATGTATCGTTTCCATTGGTATTACCTTATGAGCTTGGCGCATCCTTTCGTGAAATTTTGAACATGTTTTACATACATAAATCCTGCAGTCGCTGCACCAGGATACTGCTTTTATGTCGTCGGTGGTCTCACAAGATTCACATTTTTTACCTTTCTGATTTCTGAAATATAAACACTACAAAACTTAATAATTAATAGAGTATACAATTTATGGCGGCCACCTAGGTCCTGAAAAGATCAAGAATATTTTCACATCAATTCTACCTACGGGAATTTTTGGTAAAATAAATATAGATTCTGAAATTAGTATCAGTAGATTATCGAATTTATCCAATCGAGATCGTTATAATTCGATAATTTAAATATCGGAATTTGATAAATCTGATAATCCACGAGTAACTAGGTAAGAATACTTTTCTCAAATGATAATCACCTAAAGTTTCATATTTGATCAACCAAAATCCCCTCGAGTGCCTTTACATTCCTGCATAATTTCTATGTCATACAATTACCATTACTAAATTGATGAGCTAACACTTCTTGTATGTATGTCTAGATCAAATGGAAGCAAAAGCGTATAATAGAGCACTTTCAATATAGAACATTACCTGGGATCACCACGGTTTTTGAAGGTGTTCGAGTTGATGAGTCTTTAGTTTTCTATGTTGTGTTTGTGTACTATTGTTTGTCTTTTGGCCTTTTTCTTTTCTTTGTCATGACGTTGTCAGGTTATTTTCCACTTATGAGTTTGAATGTCCTTTGGTATATTTTTCTCCTCTCTTTTGCATTTAATGAAATGTTATATTTATTTGTAATAGTAAACACCATTAAAGGGCATTAGCTACGAGATATAAAAAAAATTAAAATATGATTAACGATGTTCAATCATTAACGAAAGTGAAATAGTGAAATAATAAATCTCTTTTAGCAGCCAGTTTTGTTCAATTTTAAAATAAGCTAAAAACATCGTCTGAGAATTATTCACTTGCAAGTGATAATCGACCCCATTTAATCCGTATTTATTTTACCTTCAATTTAACCCCTTAGCTAGAGATGGGTTACGCATAAACTAGGCGTGTTCAGCTACTAAAAGGAAAAGAATGGCAACATTGAAAGTGAAACAATGGTAAAATGTAATATAACAAAAAATACCGAACTCCAATGGAAATTCAAAACGGAAAGTCCTTTATCAAATGGTAAATAAAGGCAACAGTAGTATACCGCTGTTCGAAATTCATAAATCGATTGAAAAAAAACAAATCCGGGTTACAAACTAAAACTGAGGGAAACACATCAAATATAAGAGCAGAACTACGACACAACATAAACACAACATTAAAATGTAACACACACAGGAACGAACTATGATATAACAATGGCCATTTTCCTGACTTGGTACAGGACATTTTAAGAAAAATGGTGGGTTGAACCTGGTTTTGTGGCTAGCCAAACCTCGCACTTTTATGGCAATGTTAAATATAACACTAAAATGACACCATTACATGACATGAATACAGTACAACATTTCGGACAGAGAATTGCGCAAATAAACAATACAACATAGTACATTTGGACAACGAAACAACAGAAGCACTGAAGTGAACAAACAACAAACGACAATGCAACACACACAGAAACAAACGATACGATAACAATTGCCATTTTCTTGACTTGGTACAGGACATTTGTAAGAAAAAAAGGGTGGGTTGAACCTGGTTTTGTGGCTAGCCAAACCTCCCGCTTTTATTGCAATGTTAAATATAACATTAAAATGACAACATTACATGACAGGACTACAATACAAATAAATGGGAGAACATATAGGACAGAGAAACATACGAATAATAGCTAACAAAAGGTACCAGGTTTAAAATTTAAAACGCAAGACGCGTGTTTTGTCCACACAAGACTAACCAGTGACGCTCTGATCAAAAAAGTTCGAAAGCCAAAACAAGTACAAAGTTGAAGAGCATTGAGGACCAAAAGTTCCAAAAAGTTGTGCCAAATACGGCTTAGGTTATATTTCTGGGATAAGAAAATCCTTAGTATTTAGAATAATTCATAGTTTTGCAAACTGTAAATTTATAAAAATTACTATATAATAGATATACATGATTACACCGAAGTGGTGATTAACTACAGAACAAAAACGGATACATAAAACAACATAAACCAGCACATAAAAATTCACAGCCGAGTTAGCCAAAGAGATCAACGCACAAAGTGACGTCACATTTGAATTTCAAAAAATTTCCCCAAAATAGGGTAGAATTAGGATAGAATTAAAGATTAGGTTTGTAATACTCATATAACATTTATTAATAACAATGAAAATTACAATACTAATTAATATAAAATCAATAGCTCAAACACATCTAAAGAATGGAAAACAACTGTCATATCCCTGACTTGGTACAGATATTTCCTTATGCAGAAAATGGTGGATTAAACACCATTTGGATTACTGATTGCATGCACAAAAACTCATTCCTATACAAGTAAAGATGATGATAATATATTTTGTAACCTATAATATAATATAATATATTATCAGATTATAATACCTCTTATATGACATGAAACAAATCCTCTTTTGACTCAGCAAAATTATGCTCAAATACAATCCGGCAAATCTAATTTTTCAACTGTTTATACTGATGGATCGAAGGATGGAGACAGGGTGTCGTCACCTGCTGTCTGTGGTGACAGAGCTGCGACTCTCCGCTTAAATCCTGTTGCATCCATCTTTACTGCAGAAGCTAAGGCAATAATTCTAGCCTTGTAGTTTATTGCTACTTCTGACAAATCAAAGTTGATCATATGTTCTGATTCGCTATCATGTCTTCAAGCAATACAAAATACCAAAATTAAAAACTCGTTAATTCTTTAAATCCTTCACGTAATTAGAAATTTGAAAATTCTCAATAAAGAAATTATATTTCTATGGGTTTCAAGTCATACTGGCATCCACCGAAACACAGTTGTAGATCAGGAAGCAAAGAACGCCCTAAACGACCCAATATCTAAATGTGAAATAACTTATACTGATTTTAAATCTAATATAAGAGAATATGTTTTAAATATATGGAAAAATGTTTGGAGTATAAGGAACGACAATAGATTGCATGAAACTGGACCAACTTCATGCAAACCTTTAAACAAATTTATATGCCGGAAAGATCCGTGTGTTATTTCTAGATGCCATTCGGTCATGCTAGAATGACCACACGAGTATCTTTAAAAAAATGAAATTCAACCAGTAGGTATTCCTTGCGATTGCACGTATACAATTAAACATATTTTAATTGAATGTATCGACTTTCCGATATCAGGAAAAAAAATTTTTTAATGTTAATAGGGTGTATGATTCATTTACTAACATTCCTGTTGAAATAATTGTTTCATTTTTAAAAGAAATAAGAATATATTCCAAAATACGAATTTGTTGTATTAGTTTGAAATGAGTTTTATCTTTTATTATGCTATCTTATTAATAAATTTTTATTTGTAAATAAATAATTTTGCTTTAAACTATAGTTTTTATACATTCAAGGACTTGTTGTCTGATTTAAAAAAAAAATTTTGTTACAATATTTGAAATAGCTCTCGCCGCGATATATCCTTTTTGTGCCGATGCGGCGTAGGGCAATCACCAATCCATCTTCGCTAGCCAAGGGTTACGATCCATTCCCCTCCTCTCCAACCTTGGCGGATCAAGATAGGACTAATAAGTCGAAACTAATAAGTCGAAACTAGACTGACAGCGCCATGGCTAAAAAGAAAAAGACCAACAGACAAACAATAGTACACAAAACACAACATAGAAAACTAAAGCCTGACCAACACAAACCCCACCAAAAACGCAGGGTGATCTCAAGTGCCCCGGAAGAGTAAGCAGATCCTGTACCACATATGGCAAAACGTTGTTTATTATCTTAATTAAAACTTGCAGTCAACTTGATTTTACTGTTACAAATATCCATTTACCTAGCTCCGCCCAGCATCACTAGGTAAACTTGATTTGCGACTGTAAAATCTACGTTTTACAATGGCCAAATTTAAATACAAAACAGTTACCTCCTAATTTACCTAGACAGTGGCATAAACAATGGGATGCGTTTAACACTCATAATAATATATCTGTATCTATGATATCTCACAATTTATAAATCTCAGTTTTTAAGAATTTGTCTAACTTTCTTTCATAAAGCAGTCTTTCTCATATCCGAACTTACATTTAGAAGCTGGCAATAATGAGGGTCAGTTTAAAACTTGTCTTTACGTCTTAGTTCCTTACAATCTTTAAGTAACACTTCACGTACCACAAAGTTTTTTGTTTAGTAAGCGTATTTAATTATTACTTGAGTGCCTTTTAATGATAAAAACGAGTACAATTACTTCGAAAACACACAATGATAAAGATTTAAAAATAGAAGAATGGTAAATCCAATCTTCGATTTAATCATCAATTTATATTTGACTAGTACGAAATAATACAAAAACCCACAAAATACAATTATATGTTGCATTTCAATGCAAATACTTAAAATACTTGTGGTGAGGTGAATTGGTCTACCCATTCTCTGTATGGACATTCTTATCCAGAAACCTTTTCTCGAATCAGACTGACTGACATTTTTTTTTAGTTTTGACCATTCCTCATCGAGTGAATATAATACCTGAATTGATCATTTTGGGCCATTCATTTACAGATCACATACACTTTCATCTCTTTTGGACACCGTTTAATCATTTCATACAAGAATCAATGTGATAACATTTCTAGCTTAAAGCCATGCGTTATTCTAAAATAGAATGTTTATTTACACCAGAAGTGGCATTTACAATCGGATGCCTTTTATACTGATAATGATATATCTGTATCTATACTATATAACAAGGAAATAGATAAAATCTCTTTCGTGGAGAATTGTCCAACTATTTTCTTCCATCAAACAGAATGAACAAACCATATACGAGTATCATGTTATAGAAGGGACAAGTTATACATTTTCAAAACTTCAGAGTTTTGTGACTATGTTGACTGCATAGATCCGAATAACTTTAAGTAAAGGATACTACATACACTGTGAAGTCTGTCTCATATCTTAACTTACGTCTATAAATTGACAGTAAGGATCGTTTGACAAATAAACTTTTC